TGATGAAGGCTAATACAAATATGACTAATAAATTAAAGCGATTCGAAGCACATTAATGTGATATTTCTATACATTGTTTCTGTCGCATGGCATAGCACTATTAATGCTCCTATAATTTTTAATAAAATGTTGAAAAGACAAGTATCGGTTTCATCAAAAATATATTGATATTGATATTGCAATTTATACTTATCAGAAAAAGAAAAAGAATGAGATTGACATTCTGATGTAAGACACGTTTAAGTCGAAAGAGGAATGAAACGATAAGTGAACCTNCCCGACTCTATTCCTTCATGTATATTTGACGAACCAGGAAATGAAATTGAAATTATTGCCAGTGAATCTTCATGTTCATCATCAAACGTTGCTGATATTCAACACGTGTCTTCTTCCATTGAATACGAAACTTCTAACAAGTCAAATTTAAACAAAAATCAAGCACTAAAACTGGCCGTAATTATCTTCCCGAATGGGAAAGCAACCAGATACTATGTACAAAATTTATTCATAGGATTCTCTCTTTTAATGTAATTTTAATCATTTATACCTTGGAAACTTTGTGACACTTTGTTTAAAAAAACAAAATATCACTTTATACTGTAATGGCAAAAGTAAAACGTCATTTGACTTTTTGTTTTAGATTCCTATTAGAAACGCTGGACAAAACCTATTATTGAAACATGTTTAGCTCTCTATTTTTGGCAGGCTAAATATTAGTTCTACCATTGCTACATAATCCTCAAAACGAGAGCTAACATTATCCGATGTGCTTTCTACTTATTTTAATTTTTTTTCAGCTTCAGGAGTGACATGAAAGTAAAAGGTGTCGATGCAATTTCAAACTAAAGATATATATTTCTTTGGAGAATAGATTTTCTTGGATCACATGAAGATATCAACATTTTTTATCTAAAAAGCAGTGCCATCCGATTATTTATTGAAATATTAAGTTATTATTTTTCCCGAAATTCTTCAATTAGCTATGTATTTTTTGACAATTCAATAATGCAGGCAACGATTCTATTGATTGCACAACAACAAAGTTTCTTAATAATTTATACTATTTCCCATTTATGCAAAGCTCGACGTGAAAACCAGCTAGATGTATGCATATTAGCAGAAGCCGAACTACAAAATCTCTTCAAAAAGTTTGATCAAATAAGCTTAAGGGGTGGGGGAAGCAGAGCCCGTCTATCCGGGATACTGTGACAATCCACACAATCCAGAGGATCCCATAATACCGGGATCCGCTTTTCCCATTTTATAAACTAATTTGAAAGACTAAGATAAGACTCCATTGAATAGTATCAAAGTCTAAGTAGTAGGTAATTGACCTTAATCAGTCATTCATTGATTTGTCAATGAATATGAAGTCATGATATCAATGCTCAAATAAGGATTCCTTTTTGGACCGTGTCTTTTGATTCGTTGTGAAAACGAAATATACTATGTAATATCAAATATGTTGGCAATATTCATTACATTACGTATGAACTATTGGTTTCACTTAGGGCATATAGTTGATTTCTTTAATCGAATGAGCTATTTCAATACATATATAATTATATGTCCATTATTCAAATAAAAGATTGAAGAATTTTTATTTATCAAAATAAACACTAGAAAACTTTTTATCTAATAATAATCAATGTGTAATCTCAAATGCATTGTATTCACATATAACTAAAGAAGACGAAAAACAAAATTCGTAGTATTGTTCCACTTTTTCATATTGTTTCTACGTATGCAATTTACTAATGTAAAAAATAATATTTCGATAACGACAACATACTTGATTTAAGAGGTATGTTCAGATTTCAAAAGAATTAAATTTCAGAGAATAAAAAATTTCTCTCACAATTAAAAGACATACAAGAGTGACAACAGAAATTCCCTTGAAACATCCGTGATTACTATTACATGCGAAAGAAAATTATCAGAAAATGCCAAATTTTCAGATACCTCCCAAAAAAATTTCCTGGGAATTTCTGAAATCAGTTTCACATACAAAAAGAAATTTCCCAGTAATTTCGGAAATAACTGATAGTATGAAAGCAAATTAGAACACAAACAAAAAGAGATTCTCTAGCAACTTTGGTAATTGTTGGAAATTTTTTTCATTCTTTAGGATAGGGCTTTTAAACCTATATACATATCCATGACTAAACCTTTACGATATGAATATAGAAATTTTCGTATTTTCCGAAATTTCTAGGAAATTTCTTTATTTTGGTTTTGGCTTATGGTGAACAATTACTATTGCGGTAATTACGGAAGTTTCTGATATTTTTTAATATTTGAATTTTTCATCTCTCCAATTTACGAAATATGCATATTTACCTAGGAAATTTCCTGTTTTGGAAATCTACCCATTGTTGATCGTTTTAAAATGTTGAACCTGATTGGAAATTTCATCATAAAAATAATACAGATAAAGCTTTCATCACTTAGCAAATAACTTTTACGAAGCTTTATTATTTTCAATAGCACAGAATTTCTGCATTCGAATTGGCATAGTGACAATTTTACAACAAGGTTCACTTATCGTTTCATTCCTCTTTCGACTTAAACGTATTCAATGAGTTATGAGACGTAAATAATGTGCATAAATTATAGAAAAAATGTTGACAATCAGTTAATTTTCTTCAAATAGATGTGTTCGAAATGTTTATTTTGAATGATATCTACGTTATATTAGATGTAGAGCATACACGACGTTTCTTATTATAATGATTTTGAATTCGTTGAATAAGCTTAACAAGCTGCGGACACCACCAATCTAATACTACTGTTAATCCACCATAAAGACCAAGCAAAGTATTTGATACATAAAGGATATTAGCATTATCAATGTAGAAATACGTACAAATATTTGGTGCACATTGTGAAAAATAACGCTCATATGAGATATTTGTTGGCCATTCTTCCATAAATAATTTTTTTACTAATTCCTTAACTGTTGTATTAATCTGAAATCGTGAATGAATCATAGAACGATCGTTAAGTGCAAGTACATGAGTCAGATGAATCTGAACAATAAAAAATGTTTTGTTGTTAAATTATTAGAAGATTGGTTCAAGATAAAAATTATATTTAAATAACTTACATTACCAGATGTATAATTTCGAATAAGATTAATGCAATCAACATCAAAGAAACATTCAAGTGTTGAAGCTAAGAATGATTCACTTGGTAAACATCCAATTAAAAAATCTTTCACTTTGACATGACGAGGCCAAGTAAAAACTGCTTGTGTCAGACATTTTGATTGTAATCCACATGAACAATTTTGTGTTTCTTTGTAAGTTATTGGTAGTGCATATAATACTGTTGAGATATCTTTTTGACTTTTTCGAGCAACAAATTCATAATTACTTGCATAGACAGTCATAAGCGCATTTCCATGATTGATGGATTTTACTAATTCTAATGCATTAGCAAATAATGTAGGTGCATGTACTTCTGTTTGATACAATAAGTTTGATAATTGTTTATCGAACGAAGATTGTGAAAGTAGTCTGCTTGTGATCAGAGAAGTCGAAGTAAAAGAACGTACCGAATCATTTACATGCTTCATTGCTTGATAACATAGCCCAGAGAGAAATTGAAGATGTGCTGAGAGAAAATGGCGATAGTTATTTATATTTAAAAACGATGATATATTGTTAAAATTAATAGTAAGAGCTTCACGCCATTCATCTTTTACAAATGTACTTGTACATATCTAAAATGAGATCAATTCTTTCTTGTTTTTGTATATCAAAAATAGTTTGAATTCAAATGTTTAGAGATCTAATCAAATTTTACACTGTTATCTCTTATTATTGCTGTATCCTAATGTTAAAGAGAATTGCAATGGCAATAATTCGTTTTCACTCACTTCATGAAAACTTGTTTGAATGGTAACAAATTCATGTAATGGTATAGATGTTCTTGTACATGGACATTCGACTGTACCATTTTGTCGTGTGTTTAATTGTTGAGTAAGAACTAATGATGGATTATAGAAATTTTCTGTTATTGTTCGTTGCTTAAATGACGAATAAAAAATAAGTATTGTAATACCAACACAATAAAAACATATATAAAGCCTTGTGGTAAGACGGCCAAGTTGTATTTTTCTAATCAGATCAACATTTCGACCAAATGAATAAGCTTCAAATAAATTGAAATCAGTTACTTTCTTTCTCATAGTTTGTGAAAACCATTGATAATAAACACGAGGTAAAGTAATTATTGATATTCGTTCTAAAATATATTTAAGAAGCAAAATAAATAATATGCCGGTGAAGATGTAATCGATACTTACCTATTGACAATGATTGATGTTGAAATCGTACAACAAGTTTTATTTTCAATGGAGCTAATAAACTCAATGCAAGTGATAATCCACCATAAATAGCTAGAAACATGGTTATAACGTATAGATAATTTGCACGTTTAATATATGTGTACTGGCATGCATTAGGAGCACATAAATTAAACTATTTTACATGTGACCATGATATTTTCCATCCTTCTACAAATAAGTTATCAGCCAATGTGGCTACAGTAGAATGAGTTGTTGTTCGAATTAATTGAGAAACATTAAGTGGTGGAACCGGAACTGCCGTGTTTGAAAAATTAATGTAATGAAGTAAAATATCGGTGAGACATCTAGTATTGGAATAGAAACATTCCAATGTTGATGAAAGAATAGAATCCATGGGGTAACAACGCCATACAAAACCTGGCACGATAATCTCTTTGGCAGCATGCATAATTATTATTGGTTCTCCACAATTTATATTAAAAGAGCATAAACATTTGAAGTCTTCATATAATTTTCCAGGACTATTAGAAAAAATTTTAATCTTAAAAACAAAATTATATAGATATATATATATATATATTAATTGATTGATTGATTGGTTGATTGACTGATTATTATTTACTTTGAGATATTCATCATTAGATGAGCCAGATATATGTAGTTGTGAATTGTAGCCTGTACCAGAAAAATATTGATTAACTTGAAAAATTAATCGAAAAATATGATTGACACGTTCGAATTCAGTTTGCATAGAATGAATTAATTCTTCTAATGTATTATTCATTTGACTACTGAATAAGTGTGAATTAAGTAATCGAGTTGTCACTATGGTACTGAGACGAAATAGTTCTATGTCATTACTAATAATGTCATGAGCTAATGTACATAATGCTGCTAAAGATTGAAAATTGCTAAGTGACGCTACTCGCCAATCTGTCATTACGAATGATGGACCTTTAATTATTTCCAATTGGTTGAACCATATTGGTTTGATAAATGCACTTGAACATATTGGATGATAAATAGGCGTTATATTAAGAAATGCTCCATAGCTAGGAGTTATTTCTGAACAAGAACAAATAAGTTTTTCAGAATATTGCTTATAAAGTTTTTTGTAAATTGAATATGGTGGACGATCATAAGTTAAACTAATTGTTTGTTCACTTATTGTTGTCAATAGTAAAAGAATGAATACAGATACTATTTAATACATATAGTTTTATTTATCTATTTATCTATCCCAATGTATTTGGCACAAAAAGAATAATAGAAACTTACCAATTAAACAACAAAGATAAAGCCTTGTTGATAATCGTTGTTGATGAATTGCTTCAGATGATCGATCAATGGATTTAAATAAGTTCCAATTTATAATCTTTTTTTTCCAAATATTAAAATAAATTACTGTTTGTTCTATGATTCGTTCTATAAAATACGAAAAATTGAATAAAAATAAGAATATTTCTAAATATTTAACTATAAAATCAATGAGTTTAGTAGTATTCACAACTATTTCGTTGATAAACTTGTTTTTTTAATTATCATCTAACTCACTTCGTATACTGGTTTGATTTGTTTGGCTTGTATTAGTATTACTAATCACATTAGATCGTCTTTTTATAGAGTAGTGAACTATATATGGAATGATAAATCGCAAGGTAGTCTGAAGTCCACCATACAAGCTGATCAACATCGTAATCATATAAGCAATATTAACTTGTTTTGTATATGAATAGGTACATATTTTTGGAGCACAAGCAGCAAAATATCTAATGTGATCGATTGAAACTCTCCATTGCTCGAGAAAAATCTCTTGAAGCAGATGATTAACAGTTACATTTCGCGGATATTTGCTTGGTACTGCAGTGTTTAGTGGTTGAGTCGTTGGCATTAACTAAACAAATAGATGAATATGATATTTTAATGTTCAGTAAGAAATTTATCGATTGCCCATTTTTTCGAAGCTTAAAAAGAGACTTCTCAGCTAATATTAATGATAATTTTTACAATCAAAAACTGATAATAAATATTTAAATCAATTCAAATAAATTAAATTAAATTGATTTATATACTTATATTTGTATAAATTTTCAGAACATATAGACAAGTATGATTAGCTGAAATATTCTAGTTATTTATCTTTCTTACTGGAACAAGTCGTGGAAAATAATGAGTTAATTTCTTAATGCATTTTATATCGTAAAGACAAATAAAGTTAGCTTGAAAAATAGCTTCATACGGTGTGCATGCACCAAAAAAACCAGGAACTAAATCAGATGCATTGTACTTATGAGGTTCCATTTTTGCATGACAATTATAATCGATCTCCTCAGCAAATGAATAGAAACCAACAGGTAAAAAACATATACTAAACTGACATCCATACCTCTTCGTTTTGTTGTTAACAATTGAATACCATGCTGTGTTACTTGATGCATAAACAAATAGTTCATGAAACATCACACGATTAGCAAAATAGACAATATTTGTATTCAAAGCTGAAGAAAAAGAATTGCTTTCAGTTAACAACTCGATTAGTTTCAGCGCATTGTTTAATCGAACTGTCGTATCATTTCGAATTTGTTCACTAGTGGTTTTTGCTTGAATAAAGATTTCGTTCTCTGGTAATAAATTACCATCAAGTAATTGGGTATTATTTAAATTTAATAATGACTCAAAAATATTGTTACGTGCAACTTCACACAATGTTTTTAAGAGTTCAAACTATGAAGAAATATTTTCGAAATAAAAGCAATCAATTTATCATACTCATCTACTTGTGAACTTGCTGTTGCACGAAAGTCTATTCCACTATAGCGACTAGCATCCGGTATGAAAAGAGCACTAATCCATTGTTCACTAACAAAACTACTAGAACAAATTTGATGCATTGCTGTTTCAACAACTATAAACTGATTATAAGGCATTGTATTAGTCAAACACGGGCAATTCAAAGTTGTTGAAAATTTCTCATGAAGTTCTTCGTAGACTTTTAATGATGGATTATGAATTGTAATAATGTTTTTTTCTGCACTGAGTAATGTTGATATAACCAAAATGAACGATGTAGCTTAAGTAAAAAATTATATAAAAATTAATAAACTTATTTTTGACTAACTTGTAAGAGATATGACATATAATCGCGTAGAAATTCGTTGTTCTCGTAATAAGTGTGCATCAGCGTTAGTTATTTCCCGAGAAGGACTACTGCTCATGTCATCATTTTGATCTTCAGATGCAAATAGATTCCATTCAATTAAATTTTGACGAATTTTGTTCAGCATTTTTGTTAAAGCTATAATTCAATTATCTGTAAATATTGTAGTTATATTGTCATGTACAATAAAAGTATATACCTTCCAATATGTTGAAAATTTAAAAAGATTCAATGATTTTCTGTCCAAGCATTGATTCAATTTTGAATATTAATATAATTATCTAGTTTAAATCTTGTGGTTTTATATTAATCAATAGGCTCGCTCTATTATATGAAGAAAGTAATACACGAAATATATATATTAGATCAGCCTCTTTTTTTTTATATAGCTTGACCATATTAATCTGTATACTCACTGCATTCCTCTGTCACAACCACAACCGTTTAATTTGACTAGCAAAGTAGTGCATATTCCAAAGAAATTTTACTGCAACATAACAGTGTTTGAATACTTTTATCTGCTACTTTTATATATGAATTTACTTATGTTACTTTAGCATTAGTCGCATGTCATTATTTGCTCTTCCTAACTTACAAGAGATGTTTCTTCCTAACATAGAAAATATTTTTATTAGGTCTAATAAAATTTCTTTTTAAAGCTTTGAAAAGAACGTTTTTATTTCATAGTTTTTTTTTCACAGATTGTTCTTGTCTAAATAATAATAAAACGGACACGGATATTGATTGTTTTCTGTTATTTGTCGAACAAAACTTCAATTGCATTTGATTGGTTATAATCTTCATTAAAAATAAAACTAGCAAGTTTCCATCTGTTCATTTATATTACTAAAAGTTGAAATGCTTGTTGTTTTAGCATTTTCATAATGTTAATTAATACAATAATGAAGAATATATCATGAAAAATTCATTGCCGAATTACATTTTCATGCAGATCATGCCAATTTTATCTGAATAGAGATGAATAATGCGAAGGTTTCATTTAATTGAAATATTCATTGACCATACTTGAACTAGACATAGAAGTATTTTAGCTATTTATCAGAATCTTAAAATAATTATTTTCTCTATAGCCTCCCGTATTGAATACAATTCTCTATATTGTTGTTATCATTGATCATTCTTCTATTGATATCATACAAATGATATTTTGCACGAGAGCTGTTTTCTATAAAACATAATGATAATTCCAAAGATTGCCATAGAGAATAATGATGGATGAATTCGTTTTGCACAATTTGTGATAGAACCTCGCTAGAAAGTAATGATTTTCATCTTAACCAATACGAGACAATGACGAATCTAATCGCATCGTACTTATTTTTTCATCTTTATTTCAAAAAAAAAGGTTTTCCTTGTCGTTCAATGTTTTTAAATGAACCTATAACTTAAAATGTTTATAATCTACTTAAAATTGGACAATATGTACTGGAAATATTTGTCCAAGAACAAAAAAGATGTGTGAAAATCTCAGATATCAAATATTCGCAACCGTTGTTTTATGTAGATTTTAATATTTGAGACGCGAAGTCACGTTTTAAAAATATCTTTACTTTTGAAAATCATTTCTTAACTGCTTCTTTTTGATAAAGAAAAAAGAAATATTATGATTTGGTATCGTATGAGACGATTCATCGAAAACAATTACGGCCGCAGAAAAAGCTAGTTATTTATCTAAGGTATGAGAAATACATATGTAATTAGTTCGATTTTTTGTTCTATACTGTTACTTCTTCGATTAATGATTTATAAATTTATTTGATTTTCAAGTGTTTTACGAGTAACGCGTTTGAGGTCGTTTTTATATTCATTCGTTTTTTCTTTTTCGCCTTGGTTCGGTAATTGCCGTCGAAAAGCGCAATCATATAAATAAGAAAAGTGACAAATTTTTATTGATCGATATTGATCTATAATATATCATTCTGTTATTCATATTGTCAAGGAAACAAATTAATCGAGACAAATTGTCGTTTTCTTTTTGTCTTCATACGATACACCCAATGTGTATAGTTTATTGTTCATGCTCATCTGCACGTAGTAACGCTGTGCGAAAAACCTTCAATTGTATTTGATAAGATAATATAAAACTCATACACACTTATCCATCGCTTTCTTACTTGACAATATTTTTTATTCATTTAAACCCATAAGTATTCGATCAATAATAATTCAATTTTTTCATTGGAAAATTCTGAAAATCGGAAATTAGAAACAAATAGTCAAGGTTATTAAGTATAAATATACGTATATATATATATATAAAATTTCATATTTAGAGGCCGTGAGAACAGCGACTATCCATAGGTATAACAATATTCTTATTGAATAAAAATAAAAAGAACCTTTACACAATAACCTGTATGATTGTCATTCGTAAAAAAAATTTGTCCCGTATACACATTCCCTTTAGTTCACACTTCATTTGCCTCTTCATTATTTAATGACCTTCTCTTCAACGTGGCTTTCTATAAATACAGACAGACAACCATAAATTACATAGAGTAATCGACATACATATGTATATAAGCTCTTTTTTTGTATTTCATTTTTAGATCGAAATGAAATAATAGTGAAAATAAAAAGGTCATTATCATTAACATGTATTCAAATGTATCTACTCAATTCGCTTCAGCACCAGTTCCGGTTTCTGATATAAATGCAAGTGGTCAACAGCAAAATCATTATAATCTACTAAATGCTATTGGTACAACTGCACCGAACTTGCTAGCACCCGCACCAATTAAAATTCTGAATAGTAATATAAATACTAATGGAAATGAATCATCATCTCAAAACAATGAGTCGTCTCAAAACAAAATTTTTATCGATAATCTTTACAAACCTGTATTACTTCGTGAAAAGAATACCTATCAATTATATGATATACGAAAAACTCACAAGCGTTTATCTGATTCTATACTAGCACACCAGCAGCATTTATCAATACTAAGCAATATTCATACAAATTTACAACACTTACAAACTAATTCTAATTTTCAAATTGATCTTAATAATAATAATACATTAACTCGGCATGCCTCATTACGTTTTAAAAAAACACCATCAACATTGCAAACAATTCATCAACAATCTTCTTCCATAGTTCAGCTTGAACCTCAAAAATTGTTTGTCATTCGTCACGGTGAAAGAGTTGATTCAACGTTCGGTGCTAATTGGCTTGATCAAGTATTTGATAAATCGACAGGTGTTTATCGAAGAATTAATTTAAATTTGCCAAAAAAAATGGTTAAACGAAAAGATTTAAAAGACTTTTTATTTGATCCACCATTAACGGAATTAGGTTTACACGAATGTAAAATAATTGGAGAAGAACTTGCTGCTCAAGGTATTAGAATCGATCATGTGTATTCGTCGCCTGCTTTACGATGTGTACAAACAGCTGATAAAATTCTTGAAGGCCTTCAAATGCGTGATAAAATATCAATCCGGATTGAACCATGTGTTTTTGAATTTTTGAAATGGTATCCTATCGTGCCTGTCAAATGGCCATTTCTTGATTTAGATGAATTAAATCAAAATGGATACAATGTTGATAAGTCTTATAAGCCATTCTATCCAATTGAAAGTCTTAGAAAAGATGAAGACGAATTAATGTTTTATACAAGAAGTCATTATATAACAACATCAATTTTAAAAAATCATGAAAACGACGGAGGCAATGTACTAATTGTGGGACATGTAAGTGTTAAATATGAATCTAATTCATATTATTTTAGTTTTCAAAACCTTTTTCTTATTAAGGCGCCGACAATTGAGGTATGCACACGACAATTAACCGGTGGTCAACCACGGATTAATGATTTAAAATTTCTTGTATTACGTGTTCCATACTTATCGATGCACTGTGTTGCTAAGCAAATTGATGGAACATGGAAAGCAGCCAAACCGCCGATTTTACCTAACAAACATGCAGCTATTGAACCATTTGAATGGAGATTTTTTCGATGAAAAATATTTTCATAGAATTTCTTTAATTTGCAAACAAAAAAAGTACTTGAAAAGTGTTGCTTGAAGTTTTTTCTTTGAAGAATTGATCTATATATAAATATAAATATTTAGTTATCCATGAAACTAATAGATTCATTGTTCTTTTAAAAATATGTATATCTATACTAATTGAAAATATGTAAATGCGGCACTTAAATGAACTACTTGAGGGTGGGGGTGTGAGTACCAGTGTAGATGGATTTCTACAAGTATAGATGATACTCTGAGTGTTGTTCAAATGTTGCTGTCATGTCTTGGGGTTGTGAAGGTGGTATGCCGTGCAGATTCAAATTTGGGGCCTTGTCAGGAGTTCACAGCATCTGTAGCTGTGTTTATTCATTCGAAAATGGAAGTGTTTTGCGGGTTTAGTAATCTTTTACATCTTTACTTATAGTAATACAGATGCCCTTACTGGGAGCTTTCTAGGCACTATGATAGAAACCATAATATCAAAGTTTACAGTGTCGATTCTTTGAATAGTTTTCTGGGTGAGCACTTTTAACCTCTGAAACATGTTGCAGCGTTTTGTCCTACTACCATCTGCGATTCTCTCACTATTCACAAAGAAAGTTAGACAGAGAATTTCTGAACTCATATTTAAAACGAGCATACAAATTGAGTGCGTACCTACCCTTTTGCATTCATCTAGAAGACTTTGGGATGGCTGAAAAATAAACATGCATTTTATCTGGAAACTATCGGTTCAGCCATTACTTTAGATATTCTAATCGTGATAGCTTTTCAAAATGAGTTTCGTTTTAAGTGGATTAATGGAATGTTCATATTGACCTCCATTTATTTGATCATCATTAAAATGAATAAACAGCATACTAGGCTATATATATTGTGGCATAGAGTTGCTACACATAATATTTACTAAAAGAAGTATAAAATCCTACATCTATTGATTTCTGTTAAAAATTATAGTGAAGCAGTGTTAGTAATAGTTATATGCATACATTCTGGTTTTTTCTAGGATATTAGACAAATGTTTGTAACACAAATATTCTGGGAGCGTTGACTCTTATTTCAAAAATATTTACAACAGTTTGCTTGAAAAACGACTTCACTGCATCGAATGTGATGCGAAAAATAAGTATTATTTTTATTACTCCTTGCTTTATTTTTTTTATCTCAGCTTATATCTTTTGCATCATGTCATGAAAACAAATACAACAATTGTTATTTTATGACTAATTCTCTAAGATTTTCTCTTTTTTTGTCTACCTCTACCATTTATTTGACAAGCAAATTTGATAAAAATATCTCTCTGTTGACAAACATGGACCTATTTCCAGTCTTTTTTTAAACTTTTTCAGTCGTTTTTTCTATCGATGACAATAAATCGTGCTTGACTTGATGGTGTTTGGCATGGTTGGGGTCATACGAGTTTTACGTGGCCTATTTAACCAACAGTTTCCCGCCGTACCGTTTGGACCTGGGGTTATGCATTTATTGTATCGCTCTGTATGTTTCCATCCCAAGGTTCATTATCATCTAAATTTTATTGCTAAAGAAGAAGCGATGCATAATTTATATAGTTTAAATTCAATAACGAAATTTTGATTAAATAGTTTTTTTAAAAATGCCATTTCCGTACTTTTATTAAAGAAACAATTCACGGTAGACTAATAAAAGTAAATAAAATCTATATTGTTTTCGAAATGAAATTATTTGTCTAATTCGAATAACGAAGTCAAATAGATGTACTGATACTTAAGTTTAGCTAGGATTGTAGTTACCGTATGTGGTTGCTATAATTTATGTATGATAATTGAAGAATAACACTCCTAAGTAGTGTAAATAATACTTGAGGTTAATAGATAATAAAAAGAAATTAACTATTTCTAATTGTAGAAACAATATTGGAATCAATCATTATGGTGCCATATAAAACAATCATACTTATTAATTTGGTGTTCTTGTTGTCTAGATTGATACTTGAACAAAAGATTTGAATTATGTCTACCCAGGATGAGAAACCAGACGGCAAGATCTTACAAGAATCGTAATTTTGATCATATCTGATCTTATCAGATCAGAAGATTCTTGAAAGGTTCTATTATCTATAGAAATATCACTGTGACATTTTAATTAAACTAATATCTCCTAAAAATATCACGAACAATTTGTATTGAAAATAAATTGTATGTGCGACCTTTAAAGAAAATACAGTATGATCTGATGCAAGATTTCAGAGACGACGATTTTTTGTCTGATGCTTATAAGATTTTGTTCGAATTCTGAGATCTGACGTCCAGATGGCAAGATTTTACGTCAGATTTTTCGATCTGGGTACTAGATGATAGTATCGAAATAAAATAGTTGTGATCAGATTATTCAACTTATTAACTTTTATTCATGAGATGTGTGATGATTTATGACATAGAGAGTCTTTGTGCAAAATTATTACACTTTATTCTTTCCTTTTGTATCATTAAAAGCGTATCTTTTGCATCGAAACTATATATCTGTATATGCAATTCGGAGATGTAAGAAAAAGAGAAATGAATCAAGGAAACCTTACAAGGTTTAAAATACATAGTTAAAGTAGAAAAGATAATAAGGTATTTTTTAAGAAGAGATGATAACGGAAGGTTAAACATTATACATTAACACTCAGTTCAATCAAACAAAGCGAGTAGATGTTGATACCCAGCTAGGAATGTCACAATATACTAGTATGATAATGACTAAAAAAATTAGAAATTTCTATTTTCTCAGCAAATCATTGCATACTTTATTCTTTTTTGTTGATGCTTTGTTTATGAGGTTAGTCATTTTGTTAGATTCTACTCACCGATGGAGTACAATCAAATGTAACGCTTGATGAAACATGTCAAACTACTATTGCGTATTTATGCTGTTTCTTTTTCTTTTCGATTGCGAAAAGACTATAAGAGTATATCTCATTATATAGAAAGTTATATACTTCTAAAGATCTCGAATTTTGCTTATCCAAGAGAATAAATCTATAAAATAATTCGTTAATCTATTATATATTATAAGAACAAATGGTTTTATCTAAATAAAACTCGTCTCATTGGATATAATAAAAGTTAAAAAAATGATGAATGCGGTGTATTTATTGATATTGGGACCGGTTGTACATAATTTAATGGCAACAGTTATCTATTTCATTTCACCTTTTACTATGTGCAAAAATAAATAGTTATATAGAAATTATCTTTAGCACAGTTTATCACTGCATACATCATGTTTTCTCCCTAATTACTTGTTTTTTTGTTAACTTTATCAACAAGTGTGAGAGAACGAATAACATATTTTTATTCATTCAAACATATATTCATACATATTTGCATAAAATAGCAATCTCCTCTCATTACTTGCAAACGAGCATTGAAAACAAGGATTTTTACCTGTATCGAAATGTCAGTGAGCAACAATGCACCAGGAGGTTTGATACAATTTCGTTGCTAAGTTGATGTATTACTTTCAAATTTTTTGACAGCAAATCAGAAAACTTTGGAGCCTCAACGACATGGCGATACATCTGTCAAAGTTAACGTTCGTCTAATCTTTCTTCGAATAGGTTAGATCAAGAAAAACATTTTTCATTAGTGTTTACTAATTGTCATTCTAGGTGAAATTGATACATTGAATGAAAAATATCAAGCACAAGCATCAATTAAAGCCTGTTGGCCAGTTGATTTTAATGAACTATCATCATGTCTTTCTCATGATGATCAGAAACGTTTAATTGATGGTAAATCTGTTTCACTTCCTAACTACGCTCAATCAAATTGGCATCCACAACTTTTTATTGAAAATGTTATGGGTGAATTAAAAGAACAAATAAGATATAGTGCGAAAAAATCAAAACAAGATAATCAAATCTATGTGTTCGAAAATCGTGATATCAAAGGCTCATTCTGGGAAAAACTTGAATTAAATCATTTTCCATCTGATGTTCAAGATTTATCAATTTCTGTTGGATCAATGCTTTTTTCTGATAAGGTTCTTTTAGCGCCTGATTCAAAACATTTGAGCGGAGTAAACCGAGAAGCATTCGTAGATCAACAAGAATGGTCTTTATATGAACATGTTGATACTCAACAAAGATTTGTTACAGAATTTCTTTTCGGTGATGATGATGATGAGGATGATGATGATAATGCTGAAGAAGAAGATGATGGAAATATACATACAAGTGTAGAACATCATGTGGATAATCAATTAAAAAATACAGACGATACGGATGATCGAAAACGTTCTATTTTAACAGTTACTTGTCATGCAGGCTTGTATCAGAAAAAAAAAGTAAAACGATAAAAGAATGTGTTTTCTATTTGAATAGCTCGCCGTTCGCACTATTTCTACTGGAACGGATATTGTCTCATCTTATTAATAACTATGGTTTCTTTTTGTATCTTTTCAATTCCACCACAGTTAGAGATTTCTTAAAGAATAATTTCAAAACAAAACAACATATTTTCACTTTTCTAGTTTTACAGGCAATCGAATTCAAATCGTATGCACACTTCTTTTGACTTCCATTACATTTCGTTGGACTGTAAATCGATCGCTTGTATGTTTATTTGTTTTACTTTTATTTGTATCATTGTGCTGAAATATTTGTTGCTTTTCAGCCAACTATTTCTTACTTAACATCAATGGATAAATATGCCATAGTCTGTATCTTTAATCTAGTAGCACATGCTGTTTGGCATGCTGTTATTGGTTTTCTCATATTTATAAACACAACTAGTCCCACTATTGTATCAACATCTTGGTTTGCAAAATTGGATCAAGCTGCCTTTTGCATTGCTATTGGTGTCTTCTTTATTCTTCATTTTATATTTATTATTTGGCTATTTTTGGTCCCTCTCAAACACCGTAAACATATGGCAGACAAGGATGTGCAATACAGTTTAGACAAGAAAAACAGACGAAAGTGCAAATCGGATAAAACTCAAAAGAAAACATCTTCTGGCTACACAGCAGTACCAGTCGTGAACATTGAACCTATATAAAAGAAAAACTTAGATTAAAAAACATTTATTCATTATAAAAACTAAGGTTTTCTTCATACTTTAGTAGCTTTTCTAGTTTTTCGATTGTAGTTTTAAATAAATTAAGTTAGAATTAGTACAAAATTCTTTCTGTATTATCTATAGATAGAATTTAGAGTATTAAATGAAATTAAGAAAATGGCATTACTATATAGTTTGATTCAGTAGTTGAGTCATTGCAATTCTCGAACGATAAGAGACCGAGAAAAGAGTATCAATATTCTATAAAAACGATATAAAAGATATTGGTATAAAATCATCATATGTTTCTATACAACTGGAAGACATCAAAGTTGTTGCTTTATGTAACAGAATCATTATCAATATATTCAATGAAAGTTTTATACCTAACATCTAATTCAAATACTTTTATACTATGTGTTAAAGCTTGGATTAATTACTCTTGGAACATATTGTGATGCAATTAATACTAACGTTCTATCAACATTTTGTTTTTTAATTTTACAAATGCGCAATACCGTTATCAAGTATTTTGTCAAGATATTAATGAACAATTAACTATTTAATTACGTAGCTAATATTCATACATTTTAGAAACTTATTGAATATCGTAACGGCCAATGGCTAGTTACCTCTTGTAGCCTATGATGCAAATAAATATAGATGTGGGTGTATGTGTGTATGAGTATATCTGTATGTACGCATGTATGGATATGTGTGCGTGTGTGTGTGTGTGTGTGTGTGTTGGTGGGTGTCAGATGTCAGTTTGCATAAAGGACGAGAATATGAATATGGATGTCGATGAGTTTGAATATTGGTGTGGGCTTAGAAAAAGCAAACGAACATAACCACATTCCTTCTCATGTGACGTTATCAACAAAAATAAGCTAACCCATTATTTCAAATCATGTTTCTAGATCAAATGCTAATAGTAAAATAATGATTTTGACTGTGTTCAACTAGGTAAATCTTAATTAGTTGAATAACTTCCGAATCTCTCTAGTTAGTCTTGTTTGATGTGCGAAATATGACTGAACTAATAATTTCTGTTATATTTAAATCGACAAATAAAGCATCCCTTTAAACACGTACGAAGCATTAAGCAAATCAGAGAAAATCTATAATAACTATTCAAAACTTAAAACAATAATAAAAATATTGATGAATCACTGTTAATATTTGTATATGCATAGATTATATGCGTTCACCTATTGACATCAAGTCAAACATGAGCGTTTAAAAATACTGATGCTGCAAGAATTTTTCTCACAGTGACATTTTCATATTATATACACCTAGATACTATCGCCCAGGTTTGTAGAGAAATAAAAAGAAGGACATGCCAATCAATTCATAATGCAAGCATCCTATGTCGTTTATCGCCAGTTAACTTTTAGTTTAAATAAAGCTGGTGAAATCACTTCAACAGATCCTTTTTATATTTCTATAGATGTTTGAAAACTCCAAAAGCTAAATTTATCACTGATTCTTCAATAAAATAGCACAAGTTTACATTCTCCTTATCTTTGCCCGATTAGATTATTTGCTGAATGATAATTTCTATTAGTACTGATTGACTCTCATGCTAGATAAAACTGGTATCTACAACTCTGTATTGAAAATACTATGGGCGAATTAAAAGTACAAATATCATAGAGCGCGAAAATCGTAGTATCAAAGTTTCATTTCGGAAAAATCTGAAGAGATCATTTTGTTGACCCATAAATCGATTACTAGAATATCTTTGTTTTTTTATTTGGTAATATTGCATTTGAAATTTTGTCTGTTTTTCAGCATAATATTTACTACTTAACATAGATTGATAGCTATACAATGATTTGCATAGTTCTGCGATTATTCTTTGTACATCGCGTAGAACATTGGTCAGGCTTTTATGTACATGTATTCAAATTTGATTTGCATGTTACACAAATATATATGACCTCTCTCGATAGGTCAATGTGTTTTTCATGACTACTATTAATATTTTCATTGTCATTTTATGTTTGTATTAGTTTGACTCATTTTACAACTACTTCGACATCGTTATGAAACGAGCGAAAAAAAAGTTGTTAAATATCGAAATAAAGATTTTAAAGAAAATGAGAATCTGAATTATACACTTTTATCTATGTGGCAGAATTCCTTTCGATATTTTTAGTTTTCTGTTTATTAATCATAATGGCTAAAGAAGAAGAAGAAGAGAGAATATGTATTGCATAGAACAAGTAAGAAAAAGAGAAAAAGGGTAAAAAAGAAAGAGATCATAAATATATTATGTCCAAAATATGATGATTTGCAATGAATATGATTATGCTTCTTCTTCCTTGTGTTCTTTGGCTGATTTAAGTTGAACTTGATCACGAAAATTAATTTTTTCGTCTTCCTTTGTTTCTTCTTTAAGAGCAAATTTATTTGTCGATTGTTTCAAATTGGCCATATTAATAAAATTAGGTTCATCTTCTTTTGGTTTTTTCATCTTGCTCAACCTTTTTTTTGTGTTTTATAAGAAATAAAATTTTAATTTTAACAACATTTTAAAACTTACTTTTGTTCAGTTTTTGAGACTTTTTTCAGTGATGGTTTAACGAATTTACCTTTAATATCATTGATTTTAATTGTTAATTCATTGACCTAGAAAACAGATATACATATATTTAGACAATTTTCATTTACAAAATCTTTTTTTCTTCAAACATCATAATCTTGTTTACGAATTTTAAGCTCAAGATCATAACGACTCTCTTCATTTGTTTTTAATTGGTTGTGAAGATCTTGACAAAGCGATTTAAGTTGAGCTGAAAGAAGATTAATTTTTGTTTTTAGTATTAATAGATATTTTTAAAATTTATTCGGCAAATAAATTTAAAAATAAATACCATCACTCATTGCGGTAAGATCATCAAGTGGTTTTAAACGTTGTTCAATATAGTTTTTGCGTGCTTCTAAACGACGTTGCTGTTCACCTTTAAGATTTTCTGTGGCCATTTTCATAATTAAAAGCTAAACGACAAGAATAATAGCGACAAATTTAAAATAGAAAACTTTTGAAAATAATTCAATACAAACACGAAGTTTACGCTTTTTTTCAGGTGTTAAACCAAAACGTTTCTTTTTTTCAGCTGCATCACGAGCTTCTTGACGTTTACGTTCCCGGTCGGCCTTCTTACGGGCTCGCTTTTCATCTTCGGTGAGTGGTCGGTTCTTGTAAAAAATATTTTATTTTATAGATTTTTGCAAACACAAAAAGATTCTATTTCTTTGATTTTTGTCTGACATGCATCAAAATTAACATACCGTGCTATACAACATAAAGATATTTATTATATTTGCGAATATGGAGTTTGATATAAGACGATAGTTTTGAATAGCATGCGAGAAGTTCTTGTGATATTTATTAAAAACCATATTTTTTTAGTGTTGTGCATCAAGCAATCAATTAGATTTTATTATCATGATTACTGAGACTATAAAATTGTGATGTTAAAATACGTACATGAAATCAACGAGAAATTTCTTGCCTTGATCAATAAGAAAAAGAATCTTTGTTTTCTCAAGTTATTATCATGCAACTCGAGCTGATCATCCATAGATTCTCATATACGTGCAAAAGAAGATAACATGCGCATTGATTACCAAATAATGATTCCATGCATAATATTCAATCGAGTTCAATAATATATATTTATATTGATGAAACTATTTGACTTCTGTGGTTTATTACCTCATCAGCCATCGTTTTTGTTTAACTATCAGTTGGTTTGTCGATTGAGTTTCTGTCCTTCCTTGATCTTGTAAAGAAGCAAAAGCAAGATAGACACTGGATGATGATGATGTTAGTACTAAACACTTATTCTTTTTCTTTTCTTGGTAATATCAATCCATGTATAGGCCACAAACAGAACAGCAAAGCGGCTAAAAGATAGAGGAGAAGATAGGAAAAAACGATGCTGCTGTCTTGTTCCTAAAATATCTGTTTATACAATTCTGCAAGATGCTGTGCAAAAAGAGAAAGAGAAATAGAAGTCCATTTACAATTTTTTGTACGAATGCGTGCGTATATATGTATGCATGTATGTATGTATGCTTATATGGGATATCGACGACAAAACGGAAAGCTCGTTATTGTTCCCTTCTGTTCCGAACATTTATGCGCATCAATACGCATATGTAGTTGCATATGGATATAGAACTAGTCAAGAAAAGAAAGAGCAATGGGCCAATATTTTTCCTCTTCTCATTCTTTTTCCAGGATGATGGATTACAAGAAGAATTTTTCCACCAAAATATTAATCTAAACGACAGATAAAAAGATCAAAAACAAAAAACCTCAATAACCTTTCTTTTTGTTGTATTTGTCATATCTTTTTCCGCCAGTCCAAATTGATCGAAGCTTCTTATGAAAATTTTCCATTCTAAACTAGCAGTAACAATCTTGACGAACGACTTAATAAATTTTAGATTCATGGGGTTTGACGTTTTATAGAAATATTTACAGAAAACAATGATGTTATCATATTCCTAATATAGTCAAATTTAGAATACCTAAAAAACAGTTAAGATTATTATGAAATGATTTCTGTTTAATTTATTTATGATAAACCTAATGAAATATGTATATAAATTGTATCTAGTTGCGACAGCTCAACTTATCTTCATCTCTACGCTCATTTTTTAATGCAAATTGTTTGTGAATTCTTCAAAAATGAGCATAAAAATCTACTTCTTGTACTTTCTATAATTTTTTTTATTCTAAATGAATTAAAATAAAAACAAGTTTCAGTTCGATTTTCAAAATCTTTCCATTTTTCCTTTGTATTATCTTTCATATTTATTTTTAATGTTGGTGTAATCAATTTTCTTTGCATTTCAGAATTTTTCTATAATATTATTTTAGAAGTCAATTATTGATTCAATAATTCTTCGACTACTATTAGCGTATATTTTCATGCTTAGTCTCGAATTCAGTCTAATCTAAGATCCGCCTAAGACAAGCTTTT